ACGTGTTTCGGGCATTTATTTTTACCAATATCTAGCGGCAATAGTTATCCGACGTGAAACCAATGTTGGCTGTTATCACACTAACTAATCACCGTAAACACGAAGGTCGAAACTGTTCAAAACAATAAAAAAATATTTGAGAACACATTTTCAAGCCTTGTTAATCGTGAGATTCTTCGAACAGATAAGCGATAATAGTACTTTTTACTTCTCAAGTATGGGCCTTCAATAGGGTAATATCTGTATAGTAAGACTCATACAATATCACTATCTATTCAGCTGTCGCGAAACAAACATTTTATTTCTTTGCCTGAGTTAATGATAATCTTTATTTTCTTTATTAAAGTTATGATCTCCCTTATTATTACTTTGTGCTTACTGGTATATTGGTTCAGACTAATGGTCTTGACGAGACCTTTATATCTTGACGAAAACTTTATATCTGTAATAAAGAACCTGTTGGGTGTAATCCAGACTGCTCAAAGAATACCGCAACCAGCCAATTTTACTTCCTTCAGTACAACATGCCACTTATCAGTCTGGAAAATAGAACCTCGTCTGTATCCTTAATGCCACTGCAATGAAAATCCCCTCCTACCATTTCTTGAGTTAAAACATCCAATAACTATTCATAAACATAATGCACACCAATATGTGCAAAGAGATACGGAAAGGCATATTATGAAAACAATTATTTTGTGAACGTGTGTATGCGATGGTTATTAATAGTTGAAACAAATGTGTTAGGCATCAAGGTCAAATAGCGATGCTAAATATGGGCAATTTATATTCATTATTGTTAGATTGTCAAGTTATATCTTTTATTGTTACGACGCAACATAAATTTAGACCACATGCTACCGTTTTAGTTTACATTATATCTTCGAACAGTCGGAACCAAGGCGTAGACTACCTTTTACAATGTGCACACCAACCAGAAAATTTTGTAGACGTAATGCATATCACACACACACACATACACACACACGCACACGCACACGCACACATACACACGCACGCACACGCACACGCACACACACACACACATACACATACACATACACACACACACATGCACACATACACATACACATACACACACACATGCACACATATACACATACATACATGCACATGCACACGCACACGCACACGCACACGCACACGCACACGCACACGCACACGCACACGCACACACACACACACACACACACACACACACACACACACACACACACACACACACACACACACACACACACACACACACACACACACACACACACACACACACACACACACACTGCAGACTGAGAAATTCATCCGCTACAGAACCCGTCTGGCAAAATGGATACCATGATATGTAGAGTGTAAAATCTTGGCAGTGAGTTGGAGACGCCCAGCAAGCCATTCCTGTTGAAGGTTAAAGCGCTGGCTACGAGGCAACAGTCGAAACACTGAAACACAACAAACGAAAGGACTGATTGCCACCAGTTCGTCTCCTCGGAATTACAGTAAATAGGTCGTCAGCACATCGCATTGTTATGTCAGTGGTATTCTCTGTAATAATATCCACCCACTAGTCAGAGTTTCAGCGCAGCATTGGTTTAAACATTAAAGCTTACCTGAATTGTGGCAGTTGACTTGAGCCCTATGAATGTATGCGCATGTTAATGAATATTTACTTTTATGCATCATGATGATTCCCAGTGCTCTTTATTGTGAGTTACATTACCCAATTACCTCCAGAATAATTTTTTGCAACATATTCCCTTGCGTATATGGTTTGGTGAATTTAAGTCCAGTTTGACTTTTCACCGATAAAGTTCCTTTGTGAATCATGGCTCTGACATAATTGTAAAAAACAGTAAAGGGAGGCGGGAAGGTGTTGCGGGGTAGCAGAAGGGGTACTGATACTTTTTAGTCCTACGTAGCTGAGGAAGATAAAAAAAAGAAACTAATATGCACATACGTCAACATTCATTGCTTTTCAAAATATTTGTATTGTAATATTTTGTTATTTTCATTTCATGGTCATGTTTCCTTTCAGATATTCACTCAAGGTCCGAAGTTGTCGTGAGTTCAAAATAACACATTGCATAATGGAAGTATGATATATATTTTTTATCTTCTTGGTGCAAATTTCCCTCCTTCCTACAATTTCATACTGGCGATGAGGATTTTCGAAAGTCAAAAGGATTGTGTCATGAAAAAAAATCCAATACTGGTGGTATACTTACATCCTCTGATACCCCACGATGGCTTTCGTCTATGCGTATCTATTATTTTGCCACTGGTCATGGTTTATGGTCACCTCCAATCATTTCACCTATTAGTCTGTCGTTCATTACTGTTGCTGGTTTATTGACTAAGACAAAATTATCATTCTGTTGTTATAAGTGAAGCCTTTCTAGCTTCCCTAATGTGATTGTGGATGGAATACTGTGGTTAAAAAATGGACGAACCAGCGATCACCACTGACTGTGGGTAAGAATTAGAT